TCTCTATCTATCTAGCAGTATTACCTCCACTCCCCTCCCATCCCACCCCTGGTTGTTGGGGCATTTTGTTTTAAAAAAATTTTATTGTGATTTTTGAGAAAGTTTACAGAGCAAATTCATATTTTACACAGCAGTTCACACACATTTTGTTTCATGACACTGACTGCAATTTCGCATGAGGTAGTAGCCCTCTTCGCACTTCTGCCCCATAGTTACCTCTGCCCTGTGTCCTTCTTTCCTATGCATTCCTGCCCCCTGAGCTATCTCCATGTGCAAATACTGCCTTTCTGTTTTCCCATGTGTTGGGGCATTTTTAATGTTACTTTTAATACTTGTGAGACTAGTTTCTACTTTAGTCGTCTTCTGTTATTATGAAATTTGAGTTTCAGATTATGGCTCGGATTGCACCATTGAGTAGTCTTTTAAAGTAATTATATAATCATAGCATTACTAGATATAGTATGAGTTGCACATAAATGTGAGTATTGAGAATAATATGCAGCTTTCTAACTAATGTAATATGCAACTGAAACTCCAGGCATAGCTTATTAAATCATAGTTTATTAAACTGAAGCTACAGCCTCAGTAAAAAAAAATGACTTTCTTTAGGTTTCCACATATTTGTCATGTAATGGATTGCTTCTGGTTTAAGATATAAATGATTCTCACTCATTTCACATTTCTTAAAATATTACTGGCAGCATTTGCTATATCCAAGGACCTTTTTCTGAGAATCGTTCTCTTTCTCCCTCCCATGTGTATCTGTGCTAATATGCTCATGTGCATTGCTTAATAAGGTTTTAAAGTTCTGAAATATTTGAATTAAAATAAGTAGAAAAAAAATCATAGTTTTATTCAAAGATGAGAATTAAAATGAAATAAAAATTTTTTAAAAGCAAGAAATACGTTAGGTCTGTTAGAGCTGAAGATGAAACATAAAATTTCAGTGTTCTGTCAAGTGACTGTTGTGCTCATAAAAGATGTCACAGCTGTGGAGACTGATGGTCTCCATTTACGGAGCAGGTAGAAATGCAGTCAGATTTCCCATTAGTGTGTTTCAAATCTTCTTGGAAGGGCCTCGTTTTGTGTGGGGGACTGAAGCTCTTGGATATGAGATGGGTGGTCGTATGTGTGTGTGGACAGTGAAGGCATTCAGTATTTTGTATTGACTCTTCACCTCTCTGTACTTCCTGATTCTTCCAGTCTTCTGTAGTTTTGGTTTATTTTACCAGACATCTACTAAATGTCTATATTAGGAAATTGCTTTGATTTAGTGCAAGCAGCACATTACATCTTTGGTGATGATGCTTTTACATTAGTGTTATCTAGCTATACTTTTGGACTAATTATAATAATTATAAAGATACTTTAAGGTATCTTTAACTTACTAATTCTTAATCATATCAGAAACAGTTACATTTCAGTCCTAGTTTCATTAAGAGTAATACAATATCCTTTTCAAAAGAAAGTGTTCAATTTATGACTTTTAAAGGTATGTTGTATGTTAATGGCATTTCTCTAATATAGGCAGTTTTGTTTTTTAATTATTAGTTTAAAAGTAGAAGAAACTGCAACAGCTTAGTATCTGTATTTGTGTTTGTGTTTTTGCATTTAAGAGGGAGCTGTGTCTGAGAAGGTGCTCAGAGTTTATTAGGTGACAGGACTTTGGTGGACATAGACCCATCTAGAATCTTAGCATTGGCTTTGTTGGTTTGGTTCTGGATTTGTCAGTATATTCTTAGTTGGGTCACAGGAATATATTCACAGTAAGCAAACTCAGAAATTGATTGTGATAGAATGACAATTGAGAGAGACAGTTCACATATACTAGAATTTTTTGTGTCTTGCTGTCTAGGTTTTAACAGCTAGCAGGTATTGAGGTACTGAGGAAATTGAGTTGGTTATCAGAGAGCTGCCTGGAGAGCATGAACTGCTGAGGGTAAAGGGAATTTGAAAACTTGGGTATTTCATTCAGACTAAGAATGGGAGTGGGGGTGGGACAAGAATGAGCTCTTTAGTGTCTCACTATGGTCTCCTTTTTTTATTTTAAATTGTGATTTGGGTGAAACTTTACAGAGCATATTGGTTTTCAGTTCAACAATACATACACATTTTATTCTGTGACTTCATTGCAATCACCACAGTGTAATAGCACTCTTCCCACTTCCTCCCTGTGTTTACCATTTCCCTTTGTCCTCCTTTCCTGCCCCTTCAGCCTTCTTAGCTTTTATTTTGTGAAACATGGTTGCTTGGTATATTGCTGGGTCAGTGTTGACACTGTCATATGAATTAGGTTTTTTTTGTTAAAAATGATTTTTATGCAGTTTTGTCTTCTTCTGTTATCACAAAGGTTACTTAAAACAATTGACTATTTTATAGGATTTTTAACCTGCAGAAAGGGCGTGCAGGTGGCATTTTTCTCTGACCTCCTCCAACCTCCCAAGGGGGAAACAGAGTCACCATCAGCAGCCCGAGGCTTATTCCTGTGAGGCCAAATGTGTTGTCACCCTCCAGCCTTTTCATCAATTCTGACACCAGCCTCCCATGGCACTTTGTACTTCTTTGCTGGGTTTGATGATTCTTGCACACAGAACTCACAGACGGTGCTAACGATTATGGGGTTGATTAGGGAAGGAACAGGCTACAATTCAGGTTTAGGAACACTCTCAGGATACAATTCTTTGATCAGGACAGTCTGCACTCTACTATATCCTCAGGCAGCCTTCTCTGGCCCTTGGCCTCTTGGCCTGGCCTCTGCCCTGCTGAGGCAAGTGTTAAAAAGCTCTTTTAGCTCTGGTGATTGGTACACCTACCTGCACCCCACTCTGTCAGCAAGCTTCCTGCCCAGAGTCACTCAGCTTTCTCGCTCTGTGGGTCAAGTAAATCTTGTGCCTCATGGTTCCATGTCTCAGCTGGGCGTCTCTGCGAAGGAGGTCCAGCATAGGGATCTTGGATCCAAGGACGCTCTATACTCCAAGTCCAGCTTTTCTCTCTTGATGGCAGTAAGCTCCCCATTTCTGCCTCTAGGTGGGCACATTTTGAGTCCAGCAGCTTAGCAAAACTAACCAGTCCTCACATTAGAGTTCTACATACCTCATTTGCATGGTCCCACTCAGTAATCTGGTGGGAGTCACAAAGACTATGGCTACAAAAACCATATCAAGTAATTTACTACAGCACATAACCTCGCCAGTTCTTGAGAATATATTGATTGGATGGGGAATGTATGTGAAAATGGCCCATTTCTGTGTTCCTATGACTGTTTGCACTAACCTCTGTTACAGCATTTAACAAGTTGGTTAACCCCCTAGGTTAAATTTCTCATGGTCATGGGACTATACAGGGCTATCACTGTGGCTGGTAGAGAGAAGGTGCTCAGTGTTTTTTTTAAAGTAACAGTTTCACTGAGATGTCATTCACACACTGTAAAACTCACACTTTTGAAATGTACAACTCTGGTTTGTACAATATTCACAGTTATGAGACATCACTGTTACCTACTTTTAGAACGTTTTCATTATCCTAAAAGGAAAGCTAGTAGCCATTAACAGTCACTTAGCCCCAGCCCCGTGCAACCACTAATCTACTTTCTGTCCCTCTGGATTTGCTTTTTACCTATGCTGAAGATTTCATATGAGTGAAATCATAAGGTATGTGACCCTTTGTGACTGTCTTGACTGTCTTCTTTCTCTTAGAATGATGTTTTCAGAGTTCATCTATGCTGCAGCATGTGTCAGTACTTTATTCCTTTTTTATGGTTGAGTACTAGCCCATCATGTATATATTGTGTTTTGTTTATCCATTCATCAGTTGATGAAGGGTGGTCTCCTCTTTTGGGCTTTTGCAAGTAACATTACTATGACCATTTTGTGTACAGGTTTTATGTATTTTCATTTTGCGCCTCACTACATTTTGAATGGATGAAAAAAAAGTTTTGAGAAATCCTAAAGCCATTTGTTAATGATCAGTTTATCCATTTTATATTGTGATTTACTTGTTGCACTTAAAAGCTAACCTTATATTTGTTCTGTAAACCTTACCCCGTACTGAATACATGATTTTTTATTCTTTAATCCAGGATCTAAAATGTCTACTGAGGCACAGAGAGTGGATGATAGTCCCAGTACTAGTGGAGGAAGTTCCGATGGGGACCAACGTGAAAGTGTGCAGCAGGAACCAGAAAGAGAGCAAGTTCAGCCCAAGAAAAAAGAGGGGAAAATATCCAGCAAAACAGCTGCTAAACTGTCAACTAGTGCTAAAAGGTACCACAATTGTTGTAGCCTTTTTATTTATTATTATTATTTTTTTAATTGTGATTTGGGTGAAACTTACAGAGCAAATTCATTTTCCATTCAACAGTTCGTATACATTTTGTTTTGTGACATTGATTGCAATACCCACTGTGTAACAGCTCTCTGAGCTTACCTTTTGTTTGTGTCCTTCTTTCCTATGCATTCCTGGAGCTTTCTCCCTGTGCAAATGTTGCCAGTCTGGTCTCTCATGGTTGGTTGATCTAAGTAGTACACCTCCCTGTTCACCTCCTAGGCCTGTCTCTTGTTTGGCGGAAAGTTAAGCCATGGGAGTGAGTTTAGTTCCAGACCTAAAGGGTGACTAAGGGCCATCCTCTCAGGGATTTTATTAGTCACTGTCATACCAGTGAAAAACAAAAACAAAAACAAAAAACTCATTGCCATTGAGTCAGTTGTGACTAATGGCTATCCCTCTTGGGTTTCCAAGGTGGTAAATCTTTACAGAAATAGATTGCCCCATCCTCTTTCTGAGGAGGGGGTTTGAACCATCAACCTTCTTTTAGCAGGCAAATATCTTAGGCACCATGCCATCAGCGTTCCTTATCAGACCAGTAAGCATGGTCTTTCCTATGATTTTGTGTTTTGATGCACATTTCTCTCCCACTCCATCTAGGATCTCCAGTTTTGATCCAACTGGTTTTTCTGTTGCATTTAAACATTTTTCTGGGATGTGGACCATGAACTTCATGAATTTTTAAATTTTTTTTCCCCTTTTTAAGATCATCTTTTTTTCGTGATTTAAATTGTAACATCTGAACTTTGCTAATTTTTAATTGAGTCGTTTATCTTTTTGTTGTTGATTTGTATGCGTTCTTTATAATGTGAAACCCTTATCAGATTTGTGGTACCTTAATGTTTTCTCCCCTCTGGTAGCATAGAGGCTAAAGCACTTGACTGCTAACCAGAAGGCTGGCGGTTCAAACCCACCAGCCACTCCTCGGAAGGAAGGTTGGGCAATCCTACTTCCATAGTGATACTGCCTCGGAAACCCAAGGAGGGGTCGCTATGAGTTGGGGCTGACTCGACGGCACACAACAACAACAACAATGTTTTCTCCCAGTCTGTTGGTTGTCTCTTCATTTTTTTTTTTCTCTCCCCTTCACTTTTTTGGATAAAGTCCTTTCATTCTGAAGAAGTCCAGTTTTGTTTTTTTTTTTTTTTGGTTGTTGTTTCTTGTGCTTTTGGTGTCTTATCTAAGAATTCATTGTCAAAAAGACTTAAAAGTTACCCCAGTCTTAAGTTTCTTTGTTTTGCTATAGCTTCAATACCACAGGTGAGCAGCTTTAAAGAGCAGATGATTATTTTCTCAGGCTAAAAGTCCAAATTCAGGAGGTGGCTTTAGGGAGTGGTCCTTGTCTGTGTCACCTTCTAGTAGCCAGCAATCCATGGGCTTATAAATTCATCTGCCTCTGTCTTTATCAGATAACATTTATCTTCCCCCTTACATAAGTTTCCCCCCAGTGTCTAATCTGCTTTTTTTATAACTCAGAAGTGATTAGGTTTAGGACATACTCTATACAGATAGGTGCCTCATTAGTATAACAAAGAATACCCTATTCTGACATGTGTAGGATGTAAAATTCTAACACGTATTTTGTGGAGACACAATTCAATCCATAATGACCCCTGTGTTTTCTTTTTAAGAGTTTAATGGTTTTAGTTCTTATACTTAGGTCATTAAAACATTTTGACTTAGTATTTGTTTATGATATGAAGGATGAGTCCAACATCATTCTTTTGTGTATGGACATCCAGTTGTCCCAGCACCATTTATTGGTGAAACTATTTTTTCCTCATTGAATAGGCATGCACCCTTGTCAAAAATCAGTTGGCCATAGTTACAGGGGTTTATATATATTTCATCAGTTTATATGTCTGGTGATGCGAAGGTTAACCATTTGGCTGGTAACTGAAAGACTGGTTCAATCTCCTCACCCACTGTATGGGAGAAAGACATGGCAGTCTGTTCCCGTGAAGATGATAGCCTAGAAAACCCCAAGAGTCAGTTCTGTTCTGTCACAGGATCACTGTGAGTTGAAATTGACTCATTGGCACCTAACAAAAACAACAAAAAAGTACCACACTGTTTTGATTACTGTACCTTCACGGTACGTTTGAAGTCTGGAAATGTGAGTCCTACTTTGTTCTTTTTCAAGATTGTTTTGGCTGTTAGAAGCTCTTTGCAATTCCATATGAATTTAAGGATTGGCTTTTCCGTTTGTGCAGAAAAGGTTGTTAGAATTTTATTGGGACTTTGTTGAAACTGTAGATTGCTTTGGGTAGTAGTACTGCCTTAACAGTGCTAAATCTTCCAGTCCATGAACACTGACTGTCTTTTCATTTATTTATACTTTCTTTAATTCTTTTTTTCAGTGTTAACATAATTTTTAGTGTACATTTCTTTCACTTCCCTGGTTGAATTTATTCCTAGATATTTTATTCTCTTGTAATTAGTGTTGTTTCTTGATTTCTTTCAGATTGTTTATTGATGATATATAGAAATACAACTAATTTTCGCATGTAGGTCTTTTACTCTACCACTTTATTGAATTTGTTTATTTGTTTTAGCAGCTTTTTTTTTTTTTTTTTTTT